CAATAAGAAAATTACGATGTTTACAAAAACTACAAAATAAGATTTTTGATGTAAAAACTGCATATTTAAATGGATACTTGAATAAACCAATTTACATGGAACAACCACCTGGATTTAAATCAGATTCAGACTGCCAAGCATTAATAGATTGGATAAAAAAACCAAAACAAAGTAGTAGTTCAAGGCACATTAATCGAAATCCTTTGCCGTAAGCCAAAACAACTGGCTAAATCATGTTTATTTTTGTAGACCTCAAATCAGGGGCTACAATGATAAGCCTGTTTTGGCATTCATATTTCAAAAATTTGAATGGCAAACTTCTTGTTGATGTGAATTAATGATGTTTAACTTAATAATTAATATCTTATAACATTGTAATGATTTGCTGGATTTTTCATTGCTTAATACTGCATGCATCTTTTACTATTTGTCTATTATTAAATAAATTTACAGTGTATATTTAATCAGATGTTCTTTCATAAGAATTTTTTATAGCATGATATGGTGCTCATTGGGGTAGATTGCATAGTTATGATCTCACTTTATTTTCAGGGAATTTTATAATATATTTTTGGATATGCTACAAGATTTCTCGGCTAATCTTTGGAATATGGTAACAGGTAGTTTGGCGACATTTTGGTAAGGCGATAAAGGTTACTAGCTAGGACTTTAGCAGTGTACGTGGATAAAGTCAAGAGTGTGCGCCATGCCATTTTTGTGCAATTCTGGGATGTTTTTTTAAGTGAAAATAGGCCGACGTGTACATGGATACCGTGCATGTGCTATTCTTAAAAACGCGGCAAGCAGTGGGCGATTCTGCACTTTCTCCCAATTTCGCACCTAATCTTCGTCATGATTAAGCACTTTTGTTCCATAAAAGTTCTAATATAAGCGTAATTAAATGTTGAGTTAAAAAAAAAAAAAAACATGCCTTTACTTTGAGAAAACAAAATGGCATCCAAAACAAAACTAGTAGGTTGCTGTAGCGGGGTTGGTCGCCAAAAAATCGCCAAGTTACCATAATCCAAAGATTAACCGATTTCTCGTATAATGTTCATGCTTTAAAACATCTTTAAAATAAAACTTTTTTCTCATATACAGTCAAAAGTCGTTAATCCGGACTCGTCGGGACTTCGGCGATTCCGGATTATCGATTTTTCATCAGTTTAAATCTCAAAAGATGGCATGCAGGAATTCTAAAATTAAAAATATGAAACCTTAATTTATGAAATAAAGAACAATTATAATCTAAAGGGTATCAAAATTTACAAAAAATTTACTTTATTAAACACTTATGTACTTCGTTTTTGTTAATACTTGATCCTTTGTGTGTTTTCAGTCTCCAGAATCGTTTGTCACATTCTTTATTTTGAGCATAATCGAAAGTTCAAGTTTACTTTTATAAAATTGCTCTTACAGTCTGCAAAAAATAATAATCCGGATCCAATTCGAAGATTAAGGAACAACGCAATCATCAACATTAACTGAAATAGATAATTAGATAATTTTAGATTATGCCGTCCGTTATACATAAAACGTGCACGCAAAAACGTATTCTGTGCTTGCGCACACGCATATGCACAGTGGTAAAAGGTCTTACGCGCACGCGTAAACGCCTATGCGCATGTGTCAACGCGGCGCATGCGCAGAAAGTTTTTAGCTTTGAGGTCCGGATTATAGATCATTCTGGATTATGGGTGTCCAAATTAACGACTTTTGACTGTATTTCCCAAAATGTTCACTTGTACGTTTATAATTAAAAAGTACCGGTACTTACGTATTATCGCAACCAGGTCAAAATTCGCATAAATTGCGAAATTTGGCAACCCTACGTGTTATACGTAGTTTTGTAAAAAGAGCATGTGGAGATTCACAAAATTTTCCTGCATTTTCGTGCAAATTTTTGTAATTTATGAGAAAATAGCAGTGTACATGGATAAAGTGAAGAGTGTGCGTAATGCCATTTTTGTGCAATTCTGGGATTTTTTTTAAGTAAAAATAAGTCGACGTGTACATGGTTATGGCGAATACGGTTTTTAATCAGTGCTAAAAGCAATAGCCAAAAGATTTCCGCCGAAAAAATAATTCTGCAACTTATTCAAATTCGAAACCGGAAGGGTTTAATTGCTATTTTATATTTTAAAAGAAAATAATATAAAAAAACTGTATTAAAAATTATCTGTAATTAATAAATGTACATTTTCTTTCTATTCATACTTTTTTACTCAAACTTACAAATAGCGTCAACCTGGTTGCGATAATACGTAAGTACCAAAGTACCTTAAGATATTAGATTGAATGTTGAAACGTCATTATGAGAAAGAAAAAAAATTGGCTTTTGCTTCAATAGGATTGCATGTAAATCAAAATTTTATTAAAATTAATATGTTTATGAATTTTGTTATGAAATATCACATATCTTTTTAATATTTAAGCAGTATAAATCAATCTAATTAATTTAAGCAATACAAATTAATGTAGTAGTATGTGGTGTACAAAGAGTTTAAATATTTTTAAAAGAAAAAAAAAAAAGAAGAATGTCTAAATTAATTGAATACTAAGCATCTGTAAACTATATCCATGTTGGCATATAGAATGATATAGATGATATATTGTAATATCAGTGAGTCGTAGAAACTTATTCAAGTTTGAAGTTTATTTTTGTGGACCTCACATCAGAGTCTACAATAATAATGTTCCATTATTAATATTTAAAAAATTCAAATGACAACTTATTGCAGATGTGAAATGATAATTTCAACTGGCTAATCAGTATCTTATACTATCGTAATGACTCTCAGGATTTTTCATTGCTTAATATTGTGATTTTTAATGAGATGTATTAAGAGTGTATTTTTAATCAGATTTTCTTTCATACGAATTTTTTGGAGCATGATATGATGCTCATTGGGATTGATTGCATAGTTATGATCTTGCTTTTTTTAAGAGAATTTGAAATATATTTTTTGAATATTCTGTGTAATGTTTTTGCTATAAAACATCTTTAGAATTAATCTTTTTTTCAATATGTAGACTAAACTTCAGATATACTTTTAATATATTAATGTATTAATAAGATTTATGTATTTCACTTAATGTCCACATGTGTATTTATTATTAAAAAGCATCTTAGGATCTCTGATTGAATCTTGAAAAATCTTTATGGGAATGAAGAAAAGAGAGTTCATTTTGCTTCAATATCATTGCACCGAAAAATAATTATAAAGCAATATTTTATTATATTAGAATTAATGAATTGATATTAATTTTTATTATGAAATACTATATATGTTTGTTTAGTATTCAAGCAGTATAAATCAGTCTTCATAATTTAAGCAATATAAAATCATCTGAGAGCCTTAACATATTTTTTTTTTTATTACAAAATGAAAACATCTCATGTTTAGTTCATTACATATGTTATATTTTCATTGATATTAACATACCGTATAATTTTTATAAATAATTTTGTGTCCATTTTATTTCTGTATAAAAGTTCAGATATGTTTCAGTTTATTTAAATCAGCTCTGCTATATTTACAATATCACTCGAATCTTATTTTTATTTTCTGTTTGATAAATCGGTAGAACGGTATTTAGTATTTAAATATCCATCATTACGATGTAACATAGTACGTTATTATTCCTAAAATTCGAAATATTAGTTGTAAAAATTAATTTAACTTGACTTGAGTTTGAAATAAAACGCTGCGTACTACATAAATGAATCAGTCGGCTGCGTCTACCGAGGAACGATCGCCTTCGATTGTGACGTCACAAATCGGTGGAGCAGGCCTGTAGATATCTAGAGCTACTAGAGATACCTTTATAGTAGCCTTAGTAGATATCTAGTTGGCCTTGCTCGTTTTTTGTGGACAGCTACCATGAGGTATTTTTCAACACCCACCAACCCCGGAGACACCCATGAGAACGCTCTAAGGGATAATATCTCGTCCACTGTCTGTTTATGTCATGTGGTACATGCGAAACTCAACTGTTTATGTGAAAGACGGAGTACGCTGAATCGATCATTAATATCATAAAAAGAAATCGTAATTCATTCAACTAGGCAAAATTTTCCCTTTGTTGCATGGGGCAATCAAGATTGTCTCAACATCTAGTACCGCTTTCATCGTACTTCTCCCACTCTCCATGGAGTTACTAACAATGGTACCTCCTGTATACACGATGATCATGTTGTTGTTTCGGTGATATTTGTTTGTGGCTTTCAGTCCTCGCAATCTGCCTATCAAAGTTGCTTGAATCAGCAGCGTTTCCTATGACGCAGTCTCATAATTTTTAAAACTAGGCCTCAGTGTCCTTGGTGTTCTTTATCAAAATTCAGTGCTCTTTACAACATTCTCAAATTTTCAAGGGACATCTACCAACCGGATAATATAGACAGATTTACTAACAGATAATATCAATGTTGCCAAAATATCAGAACTTAAAATTATATTTTATAAACAAATACTATCATTTCCTTCCCCCCTTTTTTTCGGAACACACTGTGTTTGTTCGATTTCCTGCATGTGTTAGGACAATTTTCTGAATTCTCATTTGCTCGAAAATTTTCACAGCGTTTCTCGATTGGCGATAGCACCCTGATTGTTTGAGGGTATAACGTTGGCAGGCCTAGGAATTCTTTCGCTGCGATTTGACACTTAAACCGACGTGGTAGATGACAGGCAGTGGATAAATAACAAAACAGCTACAAACAGATACTTGGGAATTTGGACGGGGTACTCCCACGTTCCAGTTTTTCTTAGGAATTAAATATTGTTTTTATTCGGACCATCATGAAAGTAGAAAGAGTTGAGAGCGATACGTGATTATATGTCAAGTTCAACTTTCTGAAGAGCTGCTAAAGGGTCATTGAAAAATAATTTTTCCGAGAATTTCGTTGTGGTCAAATAGCTGAAGACGTAACACCGCAAGGCCAACTACGTGTCAACTAGTATTTGGCTACAATACTAGTTGGCTGTCAACTAGTAGGCTTAAAGTAGATATTTGACTGATTTACTTTTGAAACAAATATTCTTTATGAGCATTATGTAGACGACATTTTATACTTTATCATTAATACATTAACAAGAGCCTGCAAAGATTGTACGAAAAGATTGCTAATGTCTGAATCATGAAAAGACAAGCACTTTCTTTATTGTATTTCATTGTAGAGCAGTTAATTCAGCAACATCAACCTCTCAACCGTAACACGAAGGAGCGAAATACAATTTAAAAGTCCGATTTTTCGCATTTCTTCGTTGCTTAGAGCAAATGATGGCAGTCTGATTTTAAATTTATATATAGTAGAATTTTGGAAAACGTTTTCATAATTGAATTTTATGTACATATTTCAATGAGCATATGTCTTCTCAATTACCAGAAAGTGAGGACCTTCGTATCGATCATATACGAAATGTTACTTTGCAACTTTTGGACATCGATCACAGTTTTTGGGTAGATTTTATTTGGAAAGAAGAAAACCAAGCTATTATTAAAGATTTCTTAGATTCTCCAACTACTGTGATGCTTTTGGCATTTTGTGATCGAAATGGAAAACTTAGATTATCTGTGGAAATGCCAGAACGTCCACCAATGCCTAATATACTGGCCTTTTTTCTCAAACACAATGCAGTCATTTCAGTGACGGATTGTAAAGCCGAAATCAGTTTTGGGAATATTTATGATAAACCACTGAATCACTATTATGAATGTTTTGAAAAGGTTTGATGTGCTGTATATTTTTCTAATTTTTTAACAGAGTTAACAAATATCATATACATTCATTATCAAAAACAGACATAAAGATGTAAAATTTGTTTTAAAAAATTGGTTATTAACATATTGCATGTTAACGCCAGTTTATTGTTAAAAATATTGTATATGCCACTTTATCTATTGTGTAAGAGTTTTATGTAGATGCCCTGATGATATAATAATTTCATCTGTATACATGGTTTAAAAAAACTGCAATACATATCATAAAATTGTTTTAAGAAAATGCAATTCGGATATAAAAAGTGTGTGTGCTAAGAAGACAGCAAGCTCATAAGTATCTTTAATTTATCATATATTAGCGAATTTATATATACTATGTGCTTAATGGACGGGCTTTTTTTTTTTTTTTTTTTTGGTTGTTGATCTTAAATCTAAAGATCCTAAAAATGACTGAAAACTAACTGATGTAACTGTATATTAATGATATATATATATATACTGAAAATATTGTGGACATCTGCAATAGGAACTCACATAGTGCCCTTGACAAAAAATACATATTTGCTTTTTTGTTTCCTTCATTTGGTATTCAGAACTTTTGTGCAGTAGGTCTTACTTAACACACCTTCTTGTTTGAAACAAAAATATTGTGTGTACGTGAACTTTTGGCATTTACAGCACTGGGCGGCATGTTTTCTGGGAGAAAAATTTTGAACTCCTACATCAATACACTGCATATTGTTGACTTAGAAAATTGGGTACTATTTGGTTTTGAGGGCCGTAAAAAATCGCCAAACAATTGTTGATGCCAGTGCTGCCAAAAATAATTGCGGCAACCCTAACGCAAGAAAGGAAGTATAATAGTAAATAACCATCTAAGATTGTTGTTTTAATATAGATGAAAGGTTAATTTCATAAAATACTCTTTCATTATTATAATTTATATAAAAAATGTTAAATATGACTGAATGGAAACATAAGAGCAAATAACTATTTCAGATCATTATTATAATTTATATAAGAATTGCTAAACATAACTGAATTGATGCCTGCATCGCTATCTCACTACTGAGTTATCACTAAAGCATAATTTCATCTCATTGGTGTTCAAACATAATTTTCCTATAATGAATGATGCCTTTTCTTTGAAAAAATTCTCAGTAAAATGCAGAATCACCCACTTATTTGTTTGCCGCTTTTTACAAGGGTAAAAATAATTGGATTTTTGTCAATTTTCTTTTACTTCTTAAGTGAAAATAGGTCGATGTGTACATAGATAAAGTCAAGGGTATGCGCAGTGCCATTTTTGTGCAATTCTGGGATTTTTTTTTAAAGTGAAAATAGGTCGATGTGTACATGGATACCGAGTATGTGCAATTCTTAAAAACGCGTCAAGCAGTGGGTGATTCTGCACTTTACCGAAAAATTCTATTGCAGACTTTTCGTCATGGGCAATTTCCAAATTGTTAAATCCATAGGATATCAAAAAAGAATTTAAAAATGAAACTAATATTTCAATGGCATCTTAAGAAGTATAGAACTATATAAACTAACACAATCTGAAAATCAGCACGTACACTAGATTTTGCTGTTAAATGGGCGCATTTGCTAGATTTGGCGCTTTTGCGCATACATTTTCACTGCAATTTTTTTACGGTCCTCAAAACGGAATAGTACCGAAAATTGTATTATCATAGGTGCTCTTGATTAGTTCAACAAAATAGAAGGGAAGATGTTTTTTATTTCCACCTCTAGAGCAAATGAACTGCTTTAAATGCAGGACATGAAATTTTCATCTTTTGATTTGAGCTTTAATTTTTTTCAGTGGGAAATGGTGGGAGGAGTCCATTGAGCCTGAGCCTTTTTAGTTTCTCCAATAATTGAGGATTAGGTGTGAAATGAAGTCCATTATTTTTTAGGTGTATACCAGTCAGTTGTTAATTTTCATTGGTTTTTGCATTAATGATGTTAAATCCTTTTTTGGCAGTCAATTTCTTCATCGAGTTCAACTTTGTTGGAAAGCTTCTTGAAGTGGTTACTCTGTGGAATATCCATAGGTGTATTTTCCTCAGGGCTCTTCGCTGTCCTGAGTGATTTACATTCTTTCTTTTCGATAGGCTCTTTATTGGTTCTTTTTTTTTTTTTTTTTAATTCCTTCATAGGTTTAATCAGAGATTTTTCTAAGTGTTGAAAGTCTTCAAAGCGTATGCCAAGCATTTTTTGCATGTTTTAAGATCTGTGTAATCCCTGCATCATTATTTGCAGTCTATCTTTGCCAAGCTTCTTTCTAATTTCTTCCAGCTTTGTGGTAGTTGTTTTCATTTTTCACCTCTTGGATTCCTTTTTACACTTGTCTTTTAATTCTTCATATCAAAGTTTGTTTTCCTAAAATCATTAGCCATTAAAATATTTTTCTCCTGCTTGAGTATATGGATAAATCAGTATCAGTAGTGTCACTATAACTGTCAGGCAGTTCGAGTAGACTGAAGGGTACCTCTTGTATTATCGCAAAGTTGTTTCATTTATTGCAAAGTTGTTGTTTCATTTATCGCCAAGTTGTTGTTTCGTTTATCCCCAAGTTGTTGTTTCATTTATGATAGCCTGAGTAGTTGAATGTTCCATAAATATACTTTTACCTAGAACTGGGTGCTCCTTTGATTTTTTTAAGCGAAAATATATCGATGTGTACATGGACAAAGGGAGTGCACAATGCCAAGTTTATGCAATTCTCTGATTTTTTTAAAGTGAAAATAGGTTGTTGTGTACATGGATAAAGGGAGTACACAATGCCTAGTTTGTGCAATTCTGTAATTTTTTTTTTTAAAGTGAAAATAGGTCAGTGTGCACATGGATACCAAGTTTATGAAATTCGTTGACTTGTTATTTTGTCTTTGTGTAGTGGCAATTTTTGGCGCTAAAATCGACACTACACAAAGCCAAAATAACAAGTCAAAGAAGTGCACAAACTCGGTATTCATGCGCCGCCAAAAATCGCCAAGGGGTACCTGTAACTATACTTTTACCCTATCAGGCCATAGATAACACAGATCACAGAGTTGCTCTATAAATCACAGCTAATCTGATGCACATCTGCTGACTGATTCTGCACTCAAAATGATGTATGTTAATATCAAGGAAAAGTAAATTACCTTTGGCAAGGTAATACTTATACTAAAAATGAAATCTGTTTATTCATTACAAAGCAGCTCTTGTGCTTTAATATTAGCATTGTGAAATTCACAAGCTTCTTATGTGAGCACTCAAGAGCAGCTGATACAGGAATATTTGTAAATAAAGATTTCTTATCAAAAAAAATCATGATAGATTTATGAGCTTTGGTAATGAAGTTTAATTCACAAAATCATAGGGATTTTTTACTTTGGAAAGAATGTAATTAGAAGCAGTAAAAATCTTTTGACAAAATGTTTTAAGTAATAACTTGATTAAAAAAATTGCCAATGTAAAATTTAAAACTAGGCAAAAAAGCAAACTGCTGCAGAATTTGAATCAAACATTATCAATCTCACAAGCAATCAGACATAGATTCCTTTTCTTCCCCAAAAGTATTTGATTCTAAAGAAGGACCTAATGCCCGATTGCATTTCAAAATCCATTCTGAGGTTACTTTTTTTTTTACTTATTTTTAAAATGTTAGAATGATGTATTAATGTTGAAAATAATCAAATGAAGGCAGTATTTACTTTTATGATTTTCAAAAATGCATAAAATTTAGCATGATTAGGAAAATGAGGCATTAACTTCTTTCATGTACAACTGTTTAAGAGCATACATGATTTAATGACAGATTTTATTTTGAAGAGAGATTGATTAGATGTACCTGTTTTTAGAATCTAATGAGGTCTTTCATCAAGCAGTTTATTGACACCATTCTGCATCTGTGCTTTTAATTTCGGATGACAGTTTAGCTTTCTTTGTCAGTTTTAAAAGCATCAAAATTTTTGCTGATTAGCAGCATACAGAGAACTATTTGTTTTTCCAATGTAAATTACATCTTGATATCATATTGACATTGGGAATTATTTATGTTATATATTGTGCTATATAATGCAATATATGTTATTAATAAAAAATTCAGTATTTTAATTAAAAAGTTCAATATTTAAAATTTTTGGTACTTTTCTGTTTTGCCGGCGCAGGCGTTAAAGTCGCCAATAATGGTACAACTGATGCCAAATGGAATATCCTCGCTGGTAACCTTTAACGCCTCATTTTCAAAACAAGTCATAGCCATTTCTTATCAGATTGATTGTTTCTTTCCATACTGGCAAACAATTACTTACAGTCTTTACTAGATAGCTAAATTTTATGCCCTAAGACCATTCGCGGTAATCAAGTCAATTAGGATGCAATCAAACCGCTCACCCAAAGGCAGAAATATAGAAAAGGCAAAATCAAGGGTTAAATTCATCAATTGTAAGGAGAATACACTAGCGAAGTAAAGCACTGCGGCTTTACATAACTTCTGAGTAAGCTATTTGTAAGAACTGAAATAATTCTTGCATTTTAAACTTTATTCCAAATTAAGATTTAACTTGAAATTGATGTAGATAATTACTGAGAGAATTAGATTTTTGTAGCGTAGGCTACATGAGATGAGATCACTTGGGGTCACATTATATGAACCGGAGAATCAGCTTGTTGAACTATGAAAGCATCGTAACTTCTTAAATTAATGTCTTTTTACAAATTTATTGTCTTTATTTATTGGCGTTTTACAAAATTTTAAACGATGTTAAAATGCCTTCAAAATAAAAAATTCTTAGAACTAACATTTGTTAAGATTTTTTATGTATATACTGTATGTTGTCGCCAATAAAGTCTGCTTGGCAAGATTTGCGCCGGCGAAATAGAAAAGTACCAAATTTTTGAGTAATTTGTTTATTAAATTTAATTAATACCTTTGTGGTCCATTTTATTATATAGTATTTGAAAATACATTTGATAGTATATTATGTTACTCACATTAATCAGTACTGCTAGGTCATTTGTCCTATTTTCTGCAATCCCTTAAATAATGAAAGATGGCCCAAAGAAATTGCAGATGATATTGCTCTTCATTTCCAAAATTTCCAGAAGTCACTGACTTATCATATTGGTCTTGCACATGGAAAGACCATTTTGATGATACCAGAAACTGCGAGACAAATTGCAAATATGGAAATAGAAAACATTTCATGGTAACCATTTTAATTTTTATTTATTTCTAAAACAAAATTTTTCAAAATTCTTTATTCACATTTAGATTTTTAGATAATTATTATTATTTGTAAATATTTATAAGACAGCATCTTAAATAATCTATTATCAGCTGTTATCATAAGCTATTATCAGTAAGCACAGCAGGGCTGTGGAGTCGGAGTCAGGCAGATTTTGGGGTAAAAGGAGTAGGAGCTGGAGTCGCTAAAATCAGGTCGATTCCGACTCCAGTTTTTGTTGGACAGTTTAAATTTGAAATGAAATTAAAAATTAATGACAACTGAGTTATTATTTTTATTTATGGACTATATACATTAATAGATAGTTATTTTCTACTTTATTGACATATTAATAAATAAATGTAAGGGAGGAGGATGGATGTGATATTTGCCATTAGTGATTAAACTGATTCATTTAGTTACAAATTTCGCTGGTAAATTTAAGTAAGCAGCAATAGCAGCAAGAACTCCCAAAATTGATGCCATTCTTAGGAAGCGAGCAGGAAAAGGAGCAATTATTGATTAAGCAAAGCGATAAGGAACTACATATTTAATGATAAAGAGGTTATTAGAATTAAGAACTTTTTTAGAAGATGCAGATAACCCTAATGTTTCACTAACAGAATGACTGTGGAATGATCATACAGAATTGCGAACTCTTCCTTCTACATCGTCTATAGCCACAAAAAAGCTTCAATCTGAAGAATTGACAGGAGGGAAAATGGAAGAATGTGATGTTTGTTCTTTCTGAAATGGAAGGTTTATTGAAGAAGGAATTATTTCTTCAATGAAGAAAAGAGAAACTAGTTTGCTAGACAATGAGATCTTGCTGGGTTCAATATATGTAGACCTGAAATACTGAATTTTCTTGGATGACGAACAAATTAAAAAGGCAAAGAAAGCCATCTATGAACTTACTATTCTCAGAACAATTGAAGAATTCGAATCAGGACAGTCAAACTGCAGACTTTGCAATTGAGTCTCTATCATCCTCTTCCAGTGATGAATTAGATTTTGAGAAATATTTTTGGATACTCTTGAAAAGGCTAAGGCAAAGTGAATGAAAATAATGAACTAAGAGCCTTTAGATATAAAAATGAAAAAATACGAACAAAATTTCTACACGGCTTTTGAAGAAACAGAGAAAAAATCTATCATGAAAAGTTAAAAGAAGTAAGCCCTAACAGTAACAGCTCTTTCTCCTACTCAGTTTAGTGTGGAAAGACTCTTCTCAGCTCTGAAGTTTATCAGATCAGATCTATGGGCTTCACAAAGAAGATCTTGCCAAAGCTATACTGTTTCTTAGAAATAACTTATGCCAATTTTTCTATTTCATAATAAATGCTAATTAATATAAATAATTTGCTATGCCATCAAATTTTTTTCCTGTAACATCTATTACTTCTTTTATATTAAAAAAAATAAGCTGTAACCCATATATATATATTTTATACATATATATATATATGAGGGAGTCGGAATCCAGCTGAAGTCAGAGTCGAATTCATTAAAATGAGGGAGTTGGAGTCAGAGTCGAACTGATTAAAATGAGGGAGTCGGAGTCGATCATTATCCCCACCGACTCCACAGCCCTGGGCAGATAGCCCTCGAGGTTTTGCCGTAATCACACAAACCAAACCATACGAATCGTTGAGCCCACTATTGAAAGTACTTAATTCCTTTCCTCCAGCATCAAGGGAAACCGAGGTAATGATAAAATACTTAAGTACTAGACATATTTTTTTGGCTGTTTTTAATGAGATAACCCTTTTAGGTTAAAAGGTTTCTGTTAATATGTTCTTTAATGTTAATACAATCGCAAAATATTTAAATCTTTGACTGCTAACTCTGGGGGCATTTTAAAATTAATTCTCCGATTTTGTATTTTTTCAGTAGTTGCTACATTTTGTATATTACTGATGCATATTGTTGTTCATTCTTTTTTATTGGACCCACCATCAACTGAATGAAAACACCATTGAATACTTGTAATTGCAACCTAGATTTTGTTCTTAGCGATGGCATTAGTATTTTTGTGGTTTTTTACATTTTGATGTGAAAATAATCAGATTTCTTTTAAAACTTCTTTCATGAAGGCATTTCATGTAAGGCAGGTAGATGACCTATGAATGCTTTGCATTAATATGTCACATTGTTGAGATGAATTCAGCTGTTCAACAAAATAATATATAATGGTAATAGCTTTCTCTTCAGTTCTGCTTGATATGCTTGTGTAATGCTCCTCTATGCAAAAAATGTAAAATAGAGTAAATATAACAAAAATAAGTTTTTGTTATATCCGCTTGGTTATGTGGATTCTTTTGACAGTATAAATTATTTTCATTCTTTGGGATTGACCTTACTTCTCCAAAAGAATAAAATTCTGGATGGATCTTTTAATCTAGCTTTGAAGGCTAAATCTAAAATAAATTTAATAAAAAAAATCCTTTAAAAAGTTTTATTAAAATTTAATTGTTAAAGCAATATTTTTGATTTAAAATACATTGTTTCTATTTGTTTTAAAATTCTACACCATCTTTTTTCATTTAAATGTTTATCTTATTCAGGTGATACTGATTGAAGTAAATTAATTGTATATAAAACTGTGTTAATTTAAAACTATTTATTCATTCTTATTTTAGTGAAAATACTGACTGGAAGCATATCAATTCCATAACTGAAATGCTAAAAGACTGGATTCCTATCATCACTGAAATTTTGGAACTCACCCCTGAACATATTCTTTCAAAAGTTGACCAAGGGCCACTGACTGAAATTACATTTTGGAATGATCGAAAAAATAACTTGGAATTCATATATTTACAAGTGAAATACTGCTTTGCTCACAATTGTTACTGTGTTTACTCATGTATTCCACCCCTCTTTCACTAATTTTATTGGACAAGAATAGATGGGGAAATTATGTGAATAATTTAATTTCTGATGCACCAGGTTATAAGAACAAAACAAATGAAAAGTATTTATCAATAAACGACCGGTAGTTATGATAATATTATTTATTTAAAAGAAACTTACATTTCAATAAGAATATGTTATTTATCAATAAACTACCAGTAGTTATGATAATATTATTTATTTAAAAGAAACTTACATTTGAATAAGAATATGTTAACATTGCTGTATCTAATAAGCTGTCTTCCTTCCTTGTATCTTGAATATCACATCTCATATTAGTGCCCATTGCTAATCTCTAGGTCTCAATTCATTCAGTACTGCTAGAATTCCCATCTGTGTTTGTCTGCTATAGTTTGGTCATTGCCATCATTGCCATTGTCATCATCTTCATCACCATTCAGTTTGTTTTCCTTGTTGGAATGCTTTTTAGATTTTCAGAATCATCAAAAGAGCTTTAGATATTCCTATTTACTTGATGGCTTTCACTCTTGCTGCTTCATCAATAAAAGCCCATGTATCTAAATCCTATTAGTACATCAGTTAGTAAAACAAAAACAATCACTACATGGATGAATAACAATTTTAAAGTTTAGAGGATTTTATTTTCTGAATTTCCCCATCAGGATTCAAACTTTGGACCTCTCGAATATGCATCAAGTGCGATTCCAGTTTTACCACAGAGGCATATGGAAAGAAGGGAGAAAATACCTTATATACTCCCCCTTTTCAATGGCAACTGGGGATGGAGACTCAGTTGCCAAATCCTGGTGGTGACGAATTATCGTCCATCACCTTTTAGTTTGGGTATCACCTGTAGAGTCATTAGCGTTTTTTATGCTGGAGACATAAAAAATTAGCAATGTCCTTGCTGGGCTTCGAATTCCAGTCCTCCCAAATATGTGTTGAGTGTGCTTCCAGTTACACCAGGAAGGCATGCGAAAAAAAGGAAGAAAATCCATATAGGATTTTGCTCTTTTCTAATAAAACTTTTGTGATGATAAATAGTTATAATTTAAGTATTTTTAACTAAGATATCAAAATATGATAAACAATTCAAAATTAAAAGATATTTAAGTCTTTAAGAAAAATTGTTGTTTACTGCAGCATGACAAAAAATGAAAGAAAAAAGAAAAGCTGTTGGCCTCATTCTTGATTAAATTATTAATGTGGAGACTTAGCTAATATTAATCTGCTAATAGTATAGTGATTTCAATTTTAAAATGAAAATTAGATTTCATAAAAACAACACATACGTTGTGTTATTTATATGATATATATATCATGATATTTTCACCAATGGCATAACTAGAACTCTTGGGCTCTTATGCAAAAAGTTTTCCTGTCCCCCAATAAATTTACTGTGCTTAAAATTAAGAGTTAGAACATTCAAGGATTCCAGGACCCAATTTTTTCCCATCTGGAGTAACTGTTAAAAAATAAAAAAAGCACATTCTTTGGGAACCAGTTCAAAGGTACGTAACATGAAGAAAGAATAAAAGGAAAATATTTCCCCTTGACCAATTGTGAAATGCAAATTTACTTTAGTATGGGTGTAATATTTTACATCAGATGATTTTAATCAGTTTATTTAAGATTTTTTGTTTGCGTTCATGTGAGCGAGAGAGACAGATTTTTGTCTGCTTTCACCGAGATACATACTTATAAAAAATAAATAAGTCTATATAAAAAAAGGAATGTATCAATATAAAGTAGTATAGCATTAAGAAAAGGAATAAAGCCTAGATTTGCAGAGATTTTTAAATAACATCCAGTAGGTTTTACATGCAAATATATTTTGAGTTTTTACATAAAATCTGTGCCAGTGTAAGTTTTTTTCGCTTATTTTAGCACTAAGAAATAACTAAAGAAAACTATTTGAGCATACAATTTTTATAGAAAATATGTATGGTAAAGTTTATTTTCCTCTCGTTTTAGAAAGTACACTAAACTACTTGAATACACGATTTTTATAAAAAATATGTATAGTAATTTTTTTTTTCTGTTTTCTTTTAATTTTTCTCAGTCTCATACTGCTCTTCTTCTCTAATGTTTTTTCATAATTAAGTGTAGTTATAACACTGGTGGCCAAAATTCATCATAAAGACAAATTTCCTTCTTCTTTAAAATTTATGCCTCCTAACCTTCATTGCCCCAAAATTATTTATCGATACCTGGACGTCCATTTTCTCAGCCATCTCAGCTTTAATGCTCAATAATGTTAGGTTTGATAACCGATATTGTGTCATAGTGTTTCTCAAAATGTTTTTATTAGTTTTCAGTTTTGAAAATGATCTCTCGCTCATGGCTGTGGTTACAGGTAATGAATGATAAATACAATACAAATTGCACACTGCTGAATAACTACTTGCCATGTCATAATATTTTACCACTGCTAATTTAGCTAAATCCTTAATGGATTTCAAATTTTGCATTTCTGTTTTGAAAGTATTTATAAATAACAGTATTTCCAGTACATTAGTAAAGTCTTTTTTATATGTTTTCTGGTATTTTTGAAACATTATTAATAATTTCCGTATTTGTTAATCATGACAGAGTTTTAGGTTTCAAAGAAGAAAACATTGTGATTTTTGTCATTCTAGTCATTCTGTATTTAAACTGAGTATTTAACTTATCAACAGCAGCATAAAAAACTGTTGCTTTAAAAGATATTTCGGAATTTTCAAACCTGTTATCCTCATATAACTTATCAAAACTTTTTTGTTTTTCTTTTTCTTTCATTTTCAAATTTTGTTTCTGTGCCCCATTTATTTGTAATAAACTCAGCTTCTTTCATAATATCTTGAAACTTGTTTCTCGTATTTTGCATACTGATAGAAACGTCTTTTAGATGTTGATGAGCTTTATTTAAGTTGATTGATTTTCTTTGTAATACTTGAGATGATTTTTTTAACCCATTTGCAATGTCTTTTTCTTGTACTTTTTTTGAAGTTAATTTAATTCAATTTAATGCTTTCAAGATGTCAAAGTATCTTAATTCAATTGCTATCAAGGATGTTAAATCGTCCAGCTCACCTTATAGGATTTAGTTTTTTGACAGTAATATCGGAGTCTCCCGAAGAGAGTAAACTTTTTAAACTTTCTCCGAAATACACTTGAATATTTTGAAGAATTTCAAAATCTCATTTATCACTAATAGCTTGAAAGCTGTCCTCTAGAGGGTATTCAAAATGAAAGTATACAGTTCTTTTGTTTTGCTGTCAGTTGAAGTTTGTGTGTGGGCAACACTGAGTTCAGCTGTTTCATCTCTTATAATAAAATCCATGTTTTAAGTTGAATCATGGAAATGTAGCTCAGCTGGACATTCAAGTGCCCCCTAAGCCTTCAGGTCTCTATCCAATGGCATTCCTTGCATACCTTATTTACATCACTGGTTTTCACTGCAAAATTATACAACAGTTTTTTTTTTTTAAAGTATTTGTGGTATTCATCACTTAACCTTCAAACCATTACACTCCAATTTTAAGTGTGTTTTGTAAGTAAATAAATTTATCTCATACATCTGAAAATGTTATGTGTAATGAATAATTTATCAATATATGATTTTTTGTGAAGAAACATGTTACAAAGCATTTGTACTTCATTGCAAAATTTCTTTAAAATGTGTAAAATAAAATAAAATACTACAAATAAAACATAAAATTAAAGTAAATCCGATATTTTAATTTAAAATTGCACCTTGCCTAAGAAAATGACCTGGGTTCATCACTGAAGTTTCAAGAACCTTTTTTAAAACTTGATTCACTGTTTGTAAGAAGAATGGATGTGCCTTTTTTAAACTCTTATGAAAATATGCAAAGAAAATTAAATGCCCACAATGGTTTTCTTTGAAAGATGTTCTACTTGAAATGAAGGCTCAGATTAAAAATTGAATGATTCCAAAGTTCCTGATATCTTCTTATCCTTATAGCCATCCAGTGGTTAGTGTTGCTGTCTGTCATACTGAAGAGCCTGAGTTTGAATCTCGAAGAAGGCATGGATGTTTGTAAGAGTATAGTGTCTGTGCAGATAAAGGGGCACTCAAAATACGTAGTGATCCAAAATCCTCTCAAAAAGTTGGTGGTAGGGGGGAAGAGTACTGGGAGACTCTCAGACTGCTTTCCCCCCCTCCCCAGTGTGTTCTTCCTCAGAATTCCATCCAGGGTGGAAGCTTAGCAGTTAACAAGGCCTAGTGTTACCTAATGTGCTTATATAGGTACACAAGTGCTGGCCTTGCTTCATCCTTTATAACTTATTAAAACAGACAATCATTTGGACCTGATCCAGCTATTTTTAAGCTGCATATATTCCAAGAAAGCTTAAAGATTTGAGCTTCAGAGACTATTTTCATGCTGTATCTCAATCCAGAATTAATATATGCATATACCGGTGGCTCACTGAGGGATCATCTGATGCTGAAAGAGAAATTCATTCTATTTTTAAAACTCTATTCTTGTAGGAAACTGATGAGCTGCCTTTGATAAAGAAATCGTTGTTGCCATTAAAATAATATCTTGCTTTCCATTGTTGCCCCAACAGAGTGGTCTTATCTGGAACAACCTAAATGTACTAATTCAGAAGTCAAACAACAAAAATCAGCGTTATATTTACAAAATTTTCACAGGACTAGTTTCGATGGTTTTACCGAACCACCATCTTCAGCTGCAAAACCGCAAATGAACAAGATAGGAGATAGTGATTAAATAAGATAAGAAAGCCTGGACATGAATAAGCAAGTGGCGCCATCTGTTGGTGAAACCAGAACTAAAACATAATTTCTTTATTTCTTATAATTTAGAAAAAAGGAAACACAGAAGTCTTCTGTTGCTCAACATTGTTGGTCCGAAAACCACACTTTCAGTTTTTCTGCTGCCAAAATTATTCAAAAAACATCTTCCATTGGAGAACTGGATTTTCTAGAGGCATTTCACATTCATAAAAATCTTTCTGTTCTAGTTAACGATCCTAATTCCAATCCAAATTTGCCTTCGGCCTTTAAAGAAATTATGTTTTAGTTCCGGTTTCACCAATAGATGGCACCACTTGCTTATTCTTGTCCAGGCTTTCTTATCTTATCTAATCATTATTTCCTATCTTGTTCGTTTGCGGTTTTGCAGCTGAAGATGGTGGTTCGGTAAAACCATCAAAACTAGTCCTGTGAAAATTTTGTAAATATAACGCTGATTTTTGTTGTTTGACTTCTGAATTAGTATTTATTCTTCGTGTTATTGTGTCTTAACCTAAATGTATTTGAGGTTCTGGTTGAATATATTTTTTTTCCATCCACTCTTAGAACCAAAAGTAGCAAAATCATGATACTATAATGTTTCATAAAAGATGTTTTTTTATGTTCTAAAAAAGTCTTATTATTTGGAATAGTGGTTTTCGTTATCTGGCACATTAATTGATCTCTCTGTCTTGCATTCCCTTAAAGCTGCTACTGGATCACATTACCAGATTATAAAGCTGTCAAATCTGTTAAGTTCTGGCTTCTAATATTTAAGAATTCCACTTTTACCTTGAGCAACTGAAGATCGAAGGAAAAGTCGTTTGTTTCCAATGAATTCATACTCATTACAATCAGTAGTTACAGAAATGAGTGAGCCAGTATGCTAGCAAAGAGGGACATGCTGATAAACCAATTAAAAAAAAGCACAAAGAAACCTGTAAAGAAGTCTTACTATTTTACAAAGCTATTCATAAACACTTGAAATGTGGGTGGAACGAATGGCATTTTCTTATATATATTTGGATTTAAAAATAGTAGATAAACCTCATATAAAAGCAGCTGCAAATCTCAGATTTGTTATTGGACTTGATTATCTAAAGAGTCATCTACACTGTTTTGACATCTTAAGAAAACCTGGACTACTTGCTGTATGGGAAAGAAATGTACAGGATCTACATTATAAAATGCTCGACACTGCATGGATCCTTCAAAGTGGTTAGGTATTGGGTAAATTAGGATTTATGAATTGGATTTTCAATAAATAAATAAAGAAAAGAAACTGTTGAATTTACACTTGTATGTTGGATACATTTTTGCTGCTGATATCTCCTATTCATAGTACATAAAGTAAATAACATTTAAATTTGTGTAGATTAAAATAAAAACAAAATGTTCATATGTATTCAGAATTCAAATTCTGAAATTAATTATTTAAGTGCTTAAAATTTTTGAAAAAAAATCAAATATCTTTTAGTTATAAATATGCATTAATGCTATATTTTAGTTTAAATTTTCTGAATCATTAAGTGCCTGTGAGATTATTATTAAACTAAACATTAATATTTTATTGTTTCTTAAATATATATAGTATCTTTGATTTATAGTGTTGTTATTTTCATAGTTTATTTATTTAAAGTGTTCTTATATAGGTGAATGATCCTATTATTCAAAAAATGGTTTCAGTACTTGAAAAGACAAATAATCACCATTTTCCAAAATTTAAAAAATTGCTTCAAGATGTTGCTGAAGGTAAGTCACCACTTTTATGTCTAATTATACAAGAAATTCCTTTTCTACAGGAAACTGATATTAATTTTTTGCTTATTATCTTTAGGATTAGATGAAGCTAGAGAAATATGTTCTAGTTTATCAGAAATATCACCTCAGTTACAAGCATTAGAAGCATGTGACTTTGATAAACTAATAGATGAAATTCCTGCTTTTATAAAATCACCATGGATTCCATGCAAGTATTACAGAACTGTTCCAAGTAGAATTTCTGTATTGTTGAAGAAGATTTGCAATCTTATAATTGAAAAGGTCAATTTTTTATTAATTTTCCTCTTTGCAACCAAATTAAGAAATGTGTTTACATGCTGATGAAATTTATGAGTAGAAATTCTATTATATATGTTTTCCATTTAATTTCTTAATGGTTTTATCTAATTTATTATACTTTAATGATGTCACTTCAATAAGCACTATAACTAAAATTTATATTATCTACAAGGACCGCCAGATCAGGACCTATAACATTGACTTACATGAAAATAAAAAAGTCACATATTCTAAAAACATTATAATATACTTTGGTGATTAAAGATAGTATATAATTAATAGTAAATTTGCTGCTCAGATTTTATTCATAGATGCGTATCTATTTTTATTTACTTTTTTTAATGGCAATGTACAGTACAAATAATACACTTTTACGACCTTTGCAGTAATAAGGAGAATTCATATATTCAGTGCGTAGTCTGTTCTTTCAGTCTTTTATATCATGTTTTGTAAGTTTAAAGGAATTTTTTAAAATTTATTTCATTGTATTTTATTATTTCATTTTGAGTGTATAATTTATATTTTTGGTGAGTATTCTGTGTGGGTGGGCAAAACTGATTTTCCAGCTGAAAAATATTTGGGTTTCATATATATATATATGAACATTCATTTCAAGCTATATATGATTTATGGTTTTTGATAATGCTGTGTTCTTTAACTGTCAAATAAACAGATGGCACCTGTATCAAAGTTTTTTTTTTATCATTTATATTTAATTAGAACTATAAAATGCCGAAGTCATTTTTTGGCAATAGTTGAATCATGGCTTTTTTTCTTTATTTTCTTTAAATGTTAATATTCATAATCATGATTGCTTATTTGAATTTTAGTTTCTAAAGATTTTTTTAATGAATAATATCTTTTTTGAACCTTAGATTTTAGAATTTTTAAATCCTTTAAACTTATTTAAAGAAGATCGAAAACAAGCAGCAAGAAATGTGAAGTTATCAGTTGATGTTATTAATACATTTTTAAAGTCATATAGTAACAGCCATGAAGTTGAAACTCAATGTGATGAAATGTATCCTTGGAAATATCCAGATTCAAGAATCTTTACAAGATTTGAAGCATTTGTGCAGAGACTGAATGAAATTAATGTAAGTGAAGAAAATAATGATAATAATAATTATAATTTAGTATCATGCATGTGGATTATTTAATTTAGTTTTCACAATTTTTATAGTAGTGGTAAATATCAGATATCTTTCACTAGCTAATTTCTATTTCAGGAAATATTTGAAGCTGCTGACACATATTTTAGTATTCCTAGTCACAAAATTGTGAGCATTCGTCAAGCAACATATAGAGTGAGATTAGAAGACATTTTTAACACATTTTCAGAATGTTATAAAGTTTTTGAAGAAAGCTCTTACAATCCTTTGGACCTTAAATCTACAGTAAGTATTTAAATTTAACTGTTGATTGTAATTTAATGCAAATGGTAAGTGTGAATGCTCAGTGAATTAATATTTAATATTACATATAACAAGCAGAAATAATCCTCACAGAAAGTAATGGATATCTGATGCTTTCTGCACATGCTTGCAAATTCTGTCACAACTAGCTTGATGTCCAAAATTATGTTGATAAAAATAGTAAGATTTCATGAAGTAACCAACTGTCTGATACACATTTTGAATTAATGCGAAAATTTTAAATCTGATTATTATAATTATTCAACTGAATATAGTTAATCTCTTTCTGAAATGCAAATAATGGCTTGACTTTAGTAAAAGGCAAAGTACAAAGTCCTTTTTCCTGAAATTTTCTGCAATTCATGATTTTACTTCAGTATTCATTAAGTCAAATAAATTACTTTATGATACAAAAGTATCATTTGTGAAAACTTTTGCAGGGGAGAGCAGTCATCTGTTTAGAAACAGGGCAGACAATTATGGAAGGTACAAGTCATAGCAGAAAAGTAACTGCTTAGAAAGATTGATTTTTGGATACGTATTCTGTTTTGTATTCAATAGAAATTTCACTAGTACTAGAGCTTTAGTACTAGTGCTTTAGTACTAGCTTTAGAGCTTTTAGTGATTATTGTAACTCGTGTTGCATCAAATTATATATGGAAGGCTTGCTGAGAAAGCTCTTTATGCCAGAAACCTAGTTATTTATATTTCATTTGCCTCTTAATGAAAGATAATTTGTTGAATTGGTGTAAACAACATCAGAGCTAGAATATGCAGTAATAGTATTTTTCAGTGATAAGTCAGAGTTCAGTTTAACATCCAATTTTGAACACATTTGTATTTGGAAGGGGCCAGGAACATGAAATATTCCTGCCAACATAAATAGTTTATGCTCATTATAGTTGTGCACATATATATTGTGTGTTTATAGAGGCTATTGTGTGTTTATAAAGGAAAATAATGATCAGTAAACCTACTAATCTTCACATATTTAAGAGAGAATTTGTATTTGCTCTGAGATACTGGCATGAAGTTTAAATATCTGGCATGCCATTATGTAAATTTTTTTTCAAAATGCATGTTTCTTTGACCATCTCCTTATCTTTTATTATTATGGATGATAACATACTTTAACCTTGTTGATGATTTCTTGAATGAGAAGGCAATGAATAAAGAAAATGCCATGATCTCCTGATTTTGAACTGTATAAAAAACTTATTGAATGCCCTGTGCCGTATTTACATATAAACCGCACAAGCTATAGCTTAGGGCCCCCACTTTCTTGGTACCACCCCCAAAAATTATACTGTATCCCATATTAAAAAAGTTGACACATATCCTTCTTAAAAGGGATCATATCTCAAATAGCTTAGGATTTGATCCTGTGAATGTCATTGAAATAGACACTGCAAAATTCTCATTTGCTTTAAAGCCATATTAGTTAAGAAATTACTCCAATTAAGTACCCTATTGAACAAACACAAAATTACATAAAATTATATTGCTATATGTGTAGAAATGAGGAGAATCAGTTTTTTTTATTACTGTCAGAAAACTTGATTTGTTTTTAAGGTATTAATTTCTTCTTAAATTTTTTGGTCACATATTTCAATTTTATTTACTTTATAATATATTTTTTGTTGCATGTACATATGTATATTTGCATGTTATGATGAGATGTATCATCCTGTATTCATTTAATAAATTCATTTAATTTTATTCTATGAGTTTTGAAAAAAAAAAAGCAGTATATTTTTTTCTGTTAAGGTAAGTTTTGACACCAATACATATATGCATGCCAAGTACCTAAGGCAAGAAAAGAGACAAAATAAGACAGCATGTGCAGTGTTAAAAGTCTTCAATGGGATATTGTTAAAACTGTAGGGAACTAATAGGAAAGAGCATTTTGTGTTTTGTTTTAAAGGTACTTACGTATTAACGCAACCAGGCCAAAATTCGCATAAATCGCCAAATTTGGCGACCCTACTTATGGCAACCCTACGTGTTATTCGTAGTTTTGTAAAAAGAATTTATTTGTAAAAAGAAAAAATAACACTGGGCGTGTACTACCACAGCAATGGGTTTTTGGCGGAATTTGCCTAGAAAAGAAAGAGATTTTTTTGGTTACTGTACCTAACAGAAGCGCCGTTACCCTCATGGATAAAATTTGCGAAAATAATCAAGGAAGGAAGCATCATTTATTTGGATTGCTGGAAAGGATACAATACAAGTGAGTTCGAAAATGCTCGATTTCTGCATGGAACTGTTAATCACAAATATAACTTTGTGGATCCCAACATGGGCGTTCACACACAACATGTAGAGCGCATGTGGGGCTCAGCCAAATGGCGCAACAAAAAACAGAGAGGAACAGCCCGTCATCATCTTGACTCGTACCTTATCGAATTTATATGGCGCCAAGCTCAAGCAGTTAATGGCGAAGACGGTTTCAATCAGTGCTAAAAGCAATAGCCAAAAGATTTCCGCCAAAAAAATAATTCTGCAACTTATTCAAATTCGAAACCGGAAAGGTTTAATTGCTATTTTATATTTTAAAACAAAATAATATAAAAAACTGTATTAAAAATTATCTGTAATTAATAAATGTACATTTTCTTTCTATTCATACTTTTTTACTCAAACTTGCAAATCGCGCCAACCTGGTTGCGATAATACGTAAGTACCATTTTAAATATTTGATATTCTGTCATATCAAAATACCATTTAATAATTAGCAAATGCTTGAGAGCTGTTGAATTGTTCAAAATTATTTGTTTGCAAATACATGTTGCATGCAGTTTACACATGTTTCAACTGTAGATGCAGAAAGACATGATGATGGTATAAGACAAATATATATAGAGCAGAACTTTGATAAATCAAATTTTGTAAGTTGAATGTTCAAATGTAGAATTTGAAATTAATATAAAATTTCCTCCTTAAGCTGAATTTTTGATTTTTCCCCCCTGTTGCCTTTACTTTCAGTTTATATGTAGCCCAGCCCTACTTTCAATTTTTTTTTTTAAGTTAGATTATCAAAAAGAAGGTCATATGTTAAATGCCGAACATGTTGAATAGGTTAAATTTTGAGGAATTTAAAATTATTAACACTATGCGATTATTCATATTCTATCTTAGTACAGTCAAACCTCCCTTTAGCAGACCTTCATAGGACCAGGCTTTTATCTGATAAATGCATTACTCTTCTGTTTTGAGAGTTCTGGTATTCAGGAATTGTCTATCAAAGCAGAGTTCTTGTTACAGAGAAGTGTTTATTAATAGAAGTTTGTATATGAAAGATGATATAAATTTATTTTTTGAATTTAAACAACAAGTGTACATATTTCATGAATATATAATATGCATGCAATATGTAAAAATTACTGCTATTTCACAGGTTTGAGTTTTAATAAACTCTGAAAAGCTGAAGTAAAATAGTGATAGACAGTTTTCTGACCTGCGAAATTAATTTCTGTCAGCTGTATTCATGAAATGAAAGCTAAGTGATATGACAGAGACAGAAAATGCTTTCATCTTAAAATATGATCATGTGTATCATGCTGATTACTAAGCCTTTAATTATAGAATTTTATAGCTGCATGCCAGCATGTGATTGGTACTAGATAAAATTATTTCCTCGATGTCATATTACATGCTGGTGCATGGCATTTAAAAATTAATCAAAATAAGAAAAGTAAGTGACAGTGTGCATTATTTTTGTATGAAAATGTATCGCAAAAATATGTATTACAATTAAAAGTTGGTTACAATGATATTATTTAAGATTGCATATTTTAGACATTATTATTCATCTATTATCTTTGCACAGTGTAAACAATGCCCATCAGCAGCCGAGCAGTAAAATCACTGACCGCTGGTAGTTCTGACCTGGGTTCGATCTGAGACAAAATTGGCTGGCTGCATGGGCTTTTTTGGGATTTTCCTCATGTGTATTGTATATACGAGCCAGTTTCTCTTAGAAAGTCCTCCATAAAGGCATCACTCCCTTTAGACAGCCTAGTGTACTTTGCTATAATCAACTAAAACAAAACAATCTAAGTAACAGCTGAGAGATCATTTATAAACTTTGCCAATATAAATGGTATCTTTATGTTTTCCTTGAGAATAGCAACTTTCCACCGCTTTCATAGTACGTTCCCATCTTTCTTTTCTTTTATAGAGCATATGTTCCTTGGGAGTAGCGTGTGATCTATTTCATTTTAGATCACATGCAAGAGCATGAAGGTCAGACAGCTGTTTCAATAAGCATCTTATCACCAATAAACAAAAGTCGTAAAGTGAAATATTTGCATTATCATATTTGTTGTAGGTAAAGTGGGAATTCGTCATCATTATTTGCAAAATAGGAAAAAATATTTTAGTAGGCTACTGAATAGTTTTCCTTTCATGTGGATAATAGGTGAGCATTTGATCTTGCTTATCAATGCGTGTCATAAATTTATTGTATTGAATTACAGGAAGTGGTTTTGATTTCATTTTGCCCTTTTTGTTTTTTGTTTCTACAATATCATTTTTATATTCATTATAAATGTGGCATCTCTTTTATTCTTCCACTTAGTTATCATTACATCATTAGCATACTTTACTACAGTTTGTCCTTTCTTTAGTTTTTTTTTCCTCTAACCTATTTCAGAGATGTCCTTCTGTTCTGAGTGTGCCAATATGGTGTTTTTTCTGTTCACAAGACATTTTAGCAGTTCATTACTATTATAATACTTGTTCATAAATATGCTATGCACTACATCTAGTACATTCAGAACTATCATATGTACAATTCATGTTACAAGATTATTTTTTTAGTACCTACTAAAGGAATTAATTTGAAACCACATACATTTACAATTAGTTTTAAACTTCACTCCACTCAGTACCAGGACCACCAGCCGCCAAGCGGTAAAGTCGCTGAACACTGGTAGTTCGGTCTGAGGTTCGTATCCCACGAACAGGCTGGCTGTATGGGTGTTTTCGTGGTTTTTCCCACGTGTAACGTGTATACGAGCCAGTTTCCCTTAGAAAGTCCTCCATGAAGGCATCCCTCCCCTTAGGCAGATAGCCCTAGTGTGCTTTGCCATAATTGAATACACCACCACCACCACTCAGTACCAGCATATACACTCAAAATGTAATGCTGATTGAACTGGAGAATAAACAGTGAGGTATAGCTTTTTCTGCACAAGTGTACAAATGGCACCTGAATCATCATCATGTGCCAGCATGTGATAAGTTCTCCAGTGATAATGCCACACCATGTGCCAGCAAGTGATTGGCAGCTAACTTGTTAAGTGGACTAATTTTGAATAACACTTAACAGTTTTTTTAATGCTGCTGCATATAAACTTGTGTGTAGTGTGTTAATGTATTGAAGAGTCTTATTTTAATCCTTTATATACTACACACTAAAAAGAGAGCTTGAAAGGACATTTAGAGTGTTAATAATAATTATTCTTTCATTAGAAGTATTATCATTTTCTTTTTTGCTTTGCTTGATAATACTCTTTTTTCTAAAACCTCTTAGAAGAATTTATCAATATGCAAGCAAACTAAAATCATTTTCCAACAATATATATGTAAACCTGAAAACAGTAAAGAGACACTATAAATAGCAATATAAGTTAATAATGATAAGATGTTACTATCATTATTTTTGAAATTATTGTGTTAGATTGGCTACAGTGTATAATAATGTTCTACCATATCACATAAGCATAATTTTTCAGTTTATGTGCTTGATTTAAATGCCATGTAACTCATTACATATGTCTATTGTATTTTCATATACATGTTCTTTATCAGAGTTTTTGGTAATTATAGTTAATTTATGTTTCAGGCCTTTGTTGAAGATTATGGTGTGTTTTATGGACTTTTACAAGAATTGGATCACAAATTGGGTATTCTAGTAGGTCAAGCATGCATAACTTGTGTTTCAACAGAAGATGCTTTCAAGGTATTTATATACGGATTGAGTTATGTATGTGTGCGTATACACAACAATATAATCAACCAAAACACATGACCATTATTACATTTGCCAGAACTGACATAGATGCCAGATGATAATTTGGAAAGATTATTTAATGTTCATTGATGATAGTGAAGCATCATTTTGTTGACTCTGTGAACATGTAATGGTGTCTGTTAATTTAAACAATTTCAAAAAGGTCAGCTTGTGATGGCTTGAAGGCTAGGAATGAGAATTTCCAAAACTTCACTGTTTTGGAGATACTTGTCTTCCAAAATTGTAGAGGTTGTTCATCAGATGCTGCTTTTAGTATCTGTAAAAGGGTAAATAAAATTAGAACTGATTCTAGATGTTGAGACCTTACATTTTCACACTTGACCATAAATGTGGATGAGGAAAATTGTCCCATTTGGTGAAAGCAAATAGGTAACTTCTAATGGCTTACTTGACTTTTTATGCAATGCAGATCTGCACACGCAATTCATTAGATTCTGTTGAAATTAAGATTCCATAGCAGGCACCACCCTCATGTGTTTTTGTTAACCAGTATCATTGATATTTACAATTATTATAGGACCTTGATTTGACTGTATAACAAAGAAAAAGCATTGTTTGGTTGGAGAATTATAATTTCTTTTATATCGTTTTGATGGTAGTGTCAGGGTATAACCATTTTCCAAGCGAAAAGTTGATTGACACATGTACTACAAGCTATAAAAGGTATAATTCTCTGGACATTTTTTCATGGGTGTGCTTGGGATCACTGATTCTTGTAGAACATACCATGATAACTGCAGATTATGTAAACATCAATCTTGTCTATCTATCTTCCACACTGTTCAGTAGGTCAGTATTTCTTGTGCTGCATTGATTTGAGAAACATGCTGATAAAGTTGGCATAGCTGCATGTTTAATGCTAACTAACAACTCAGAGTTGATAGCATAGCATCCCAACTTGTCAAATATTAATCTTACTAAATCCCATTCATGAAGCACCAGCTCAAAGTCACTAAATACCCCTTTGTCACCTCAAATTGCTCAGCTGTCTAACTTGTCAAATACTAATCTTACTGAACCCATCTGGGATATCATGGAGCAACAGCTCGGAGTCACTAATCACCTCAAATTGTGTGATCTCTACTGAAATCTGGTAAAATCTTCCTTCACAATTTTACTAAGATATCATGATAGTTTGCTGCTGTTTTGTATGACAGTAATAAAGCAACATGCCATTAGGTGAGCAATCAACATTTTGGCTGTCATAGTATACATTTTAATATGCAAATGAAAATAAATTACAACTAAAAAGGACAAAAAAGAGATAAACATCATTAAAGGAATGTACTAATTAATAATAAATCAAGATAAAAATTAAGGAATATATTTTTTCCCTGTAATTATTAACATAGCACCTGGAACAAAGTAGACTTATCAGTTAATAACACGGATAAAAAAGTAAACTATAAGTATGAATTTTAAAAAAATCTTAACTTCCCAGCATTAACTAAATACTGAGGAATAGTGAGAAAGTGTAACATAAAATTAAAAATTTATTTAAATATATAAAAATTATTATTATTATTTGAATTATGCATTCAATTCCCAGCAGTTTAACAAACTAGCTTCATAGGACTTTCCTTTAGGCAGATAGCTCTGGTATATTTTGTTATACTTTGTCACTTGAAAGTGAACTTTCATTGTTTTCTATTTGTAATAGTTTCAACATCTTCCAGCGTCATATCCTGAGGCAGAATGCATTGAGTGCTTTGCCATAATTTGTTGAGTTTATCAACGAATTATGCATTCTTTTGCACATACTGAAAGCAGACACTAGTAGTTATGATTAAAAAAGAGGCCTGATCATAACTAGCTCAAAGTAAGTTATTCGAGTTCCTTAAGCAGATAGTTGAGGATATTTGTTTTAAGCTTTGACTGAAAATCTTTTTTTGTGCTGATATTTATCGGATGAACACACGGATGATTTATTGGATTTTATGAATTTGAAATTATCAAAAACTGACACTCAATCCTCAGTGACAGAGGAAACACACATGTTTTGACTATTTAAATGTTTCCATCTAACTCTGAACATCTTCTATTGCGGTTATATTTCACTAAATTTCTGTGTTCAATTACATCTTGTAAGCTGTAATTTGAATTATCATTTACGCAATAAAAAATAGAACTGAGAATTATTACTCTTCAAAGTGACTTTATTTATATTATGAATATGCATTTATTTGTGAAAGCCTCATTCATAGTATAGCTGTTCCAAAAAATTGATGTTACAAAGTAGGTAACACTTAATGTGCTTGTGGTTAATGTTATCATTTGGATATTGTTATCAAATTAGTGAAATTCTATCCATTTGTATTTGGAAATGTGGAAAATGCATTGCTTATTGTGAACAGATCGGTTAATATGATCATAATATTATTAGAATGAATTTTAAACTGAACTGAACCTCTGCATTTGAAGTTGTCAAATAAAAGGTGTATGATAAAGATATAAAAGGCATAAAAGTCCTCAAATACAGTCAAAATAGGTGATAGGAATTGCCAAATGAACAAAGAAAAGTTTCCAAGTAAGACATTGAGCCATTGAACAGCTTAGTTTGAGATAAACATGTACAGATAGTATGATTTTCAAAATTTTACACCAGTAAAAATATCACAGCTATAATTCATCCATGTCATCAAGAGATTTATAGCGATGAAAGAATATTACTGCTATAAGATGAGAGTTGGAAACCTTTAAAATAGGGGTCTTCAACCCATGGCCTGCTGAAGGCATTTTAGTGGCCCCACATTTGAAATTTAAAGACAAATTGAGGAATTTTAAGAAATTTTGATTTCAAGAAAAATTGCTTTGTCAGCTTTTTGTCATAAAAAAAAAAAAAAAAAAAAAAAAAAAAAAAAAAAACCTTTTTTCTGTTATTCTTGATATTTAAAACATTTTATCGACATGCCTGATTTTATTTGAGATAAAATTTCCTGAAAATGACGAATTTTTCAAAAATTTCACTTTATTTTATGTAATTTTTTAAATAAAAAATTGACTACGCATAAAATCTCAATTCCATAAAAAGGGTAGATTCTTATCTCTAACAGGTTTGCAACAGATGTCAGTTTTTCGTCAATACTTCGCCAAAGGTGACTTTGAGCGTACCGCTACTATAGAGGGGAGGAGGATTAAATTAACAGAATTCATTTCTCCTACTATTGTAATCAGTTGTCAAAGGGAACGATGGTTGTAAACATCCTGTTTGATTTGGTGATAAGCAGATTTTCTACAGTAGACTTTAAGCTAGGTTACTCACGCTCATTCCACATTCTAAAATTCGGAAGCATTTATGGTCTTTGAATGAGTACACAATGGCAAGCCGGGATAATAATTAAAAAAAAAAAAGTTGAAGGAAAAGTGTTTTTTTTTTTTTTTTTTTTTTTTAATTCAAGAAAAGTGGTCAGATTTTTATTTTTTGTTGTACATAAGGGTAAAGCAGATTACTTTATTTGCAACGAGAGTGTAGCTGTGATGAAGGAATACAGGAATACAGCATTAAGAGACATTATGATACTAATCACAGTGAGAAATATTCTGCATTGGAAGGTCTTTTCGAAGTGATAAGGTGAGTGAATTAAAATCAAAACTAAATTTTCAGCAGTCTTTCTTCACCACAGCGAATAAAGAATCTGAAAATCCACAGCGAATAAAGAATCAGTTCGTGTTAGTTACATGATAGCAGAAAAAATTGCTGAGCGTGTAAAACCCTTTGCTGATGAAGAATTTGTAAAAGGATATCTTAAGAGTGCAGCTGTTGTGCTTTGTCCATCACAGGCTGAAGTCATTGAATATCAGCTTGCCTGGTGTGACAGTAGCAAGACGCATAGAGGATCTAGCAACAGATATATTCAGTAAATTAAAATCCAAATGAAAAAAAAAAAAAAAAAAGAATTTTATTCTGCAGCGATGGATGAATCAACAGATGCAATAGATACTGCACAAGTAACCATTTTTATTCATGGCATTGATAGAGACTTCATAATTGTAGAGGAATTAGTCAGTGTGTCGTTGCACTTAAAGGTACAATATGAGGAACAGATTTGTATTCGAGTCTGACACAAACTTTGGATAAATGTGAGTTAGACTTCAGTAATATATCTGGCTATAACCATGGATGGCTCTAAATCTATAACTGGAAAGAAACAGGAGTAACAACATTACTCAAATCTGATGAGAAGGCAAGTGGAAATAATACTATGATGATTTTCCACTGCATCATCCACCAAGAAAATTTGTGCAAGAAGTTCTTCTCAAACTTTGAATATGTGATGAATGTTGTTGTAAAAGTGGTTAATTTCATTCGGTCTAAAGGACTTAATCACAGACAGTTTCAACAGTGATTTGGAAGCTGAATATGGTGATGTTGTGTATTACGGGAAAGTACATTGGTTGAGCCGAGGAAAGATGCTTCAGTGCCTATTTTCTTTGAAGAGCGAAGTTCAACAATTCATGGAATCTAAAGGGAAATCTATGCACGAGTTCAGTGATGAGAAATGGTTGAAAGACTTTGCATTCCTTGTCGATATTACGGGTCATTTCAATGATTTGAACTACCACTTACTGGGAAAAGATCTACTTGTTCATAATCTTTATTACTTTGGGAAAGTTTTTGAGACAATATTAATCCTGTGGGAAAGTGAGTTACTAAATAAGAATTCCACTCACTTTCCAAAATTGATGGAGTCTGTGAAGAACTCTACAACATGGAATTCAAATAATTATGTACAATGCATTTCAAATTTGAAAGAGGAATTTAAAAGCAGATTTTCCGACTTTCCTGAAAATGAAATTTTTATGAAAGTGTCCTCCTTGGCACTTTCAGTAAACGTTGGAAGTGTTGCACCTGAACTTCAATTAGAATTTATAGATTTACAGTGTGACTCTGCAGTAAAATGCAAATTTCTTGAAAAATCCTACATTAA